CGAAAGCCTGCCTGATGGCTTCCGATGCTCTGCCTCACTGCCGGGCTCCATGTGAAGCAACCCCTGAAGTGATCGCTCCCGGCTGAGCGATCACTCGGGGGGCCCGGCAGTGAGGGGGGGCATCACTCATCAAGGCATCGCTGCAATACCGCGGCAATATGAACCCCTTCCGCGCTCTAACTAGGCGTGGATGTATCAGGTACGTCCGAGGACCTTAAGGATCTTTTGTCAGACGTACCCGATACATCCTTGGTCAGGAAGGGGTTAAAGAAGTCCATACAAATAATGATATAAGCACAGATAGCTGCCATAATAAAGTATACCAAAAAGTAAAATGATGGAACTGTTCCGACGTATCAGTTTTTAAAACCCCAAGCAAAAGACCTGAAAACTAAATTTGTACAAAAGGGATATAATGCAAATTATATCGATACCATGATAGTGCAAACCCTAAATTTAAAAAGAGAAAACCTCACGAAAATAATAAAAATACTAAAGACTTCTTCCTACCTATAATTCTTGACAATAATAATAAAACTTAACTTAGTAAAAAAAAAATTATCAACAAGCACTGGCACATACTTAAGGAAGACGATTTATTAAAAGTAACACTGTATCAGTGTGACGAAGTGCCCTTCGCCACTTGTGCCTGGAGAGGACTACTTGCCCGCCTCTTGCCCTGTGACTATGGCCCCTGGGATGTATTGCCCTTTAAAGACATGATTTGGGCATAATGGATTTGTGTTGTGCTGCTGCTGGCCCTTTAAGAACCATCTGGGGACATACTGTGGAGTTACTGGGTGGCCACCATTTCCTGTATCAGAAGCACATGGTGAGAACAATGGATGGCGGCCATTTTAACTCACAGACACTGTTTGGACTTTTCAACACGGTGCCATCTTGCCAGTATTTGGTGCACAGAGACATCGTGCAGTGGTTTTGGACTATACAGCAGGGGACACATTATACAGTGATTGTTTTTCATTTAGCCTGTATATGTTCTGCAGAATCTGCATTAAACTGTATTTTCCAAAGTACTGAACGGATCTGGGTGAATTTTGGATATGTGGTTCACCCAGATCCCTCGGGTTCCAAGGATATACTTTTTATGGGGTTATTGCATGTTTTGGGGTCCCTGTGATGTATATTTTAGAAGTTATGAAGCTGTATGAATGTTTCTGGCCAGCAGATAATTGAGCTTTGTGTATTGTAGAAACTCAATTATCTAGCCTGGCCCAGAGGAGGAGTTTTGTGTTGCATAAATTTGGAGTTCTGTGTGCCAGTAAATCAGTCTTGTTCCAGCATTAAGCCTTGGCTCATGTTTGGGGGATTGGAGAAATACACTCTGGGGATTGCTATAATCACTATACTCCCCAGGGTATGATCACTAAGTTCTGCTAAGAGCTTGTTCCTGTTCCTGCTCTCTGGGAAAAGAGAGGTTCACCCACTGGAAGCTGGATCCTGGCCTTGGGTCCAGGGTGGTTGGAGACAGCAGAGACCCCGGCGCAGTTGCATCGCTGGAAGTGGGGTCTGCAGTGGTGATGGTGTCAGTTGGAGTGCTTGAAATCCTCAGCGAGCACTAGGAGCATCGATTGGCGGAGGTACTCAGTCGGAGTGCCAGCGTTCCGTCACAATCAGGATACCATAACAGGAACCAAACAGCAGAACCAGAGTCAATGAACTGGGCAGTGTCTTATACCTGGCTAATCAGTGATAATTTACAGCTGGACCATGATTGACAGGAGCAGTCACGAGTTAAGTCCAGCCCCCAGTGATGGAGACATGGAAAGGATATGCTTCAGGCTCATAGGCATGAACACAGGTTTAGAACCCAGCTCCCAGGTTCAAATCCCCTGTTGGGCACTTCTGGGGCGACCTCGTTTGGCCGTCTGGATGTCATGGTGAGAACCATGACACTGACACTTTACAGAGGGTGAGTACACACACTGACACTATACAGAGAGGGACGTACACTGACACTATACAGAGAGGGACGTACATACACTGACACTATACAGAGAGGGACGTACATACACTGACACTATACAGAGAGGGACGTACACACACTGACACTATACAGAGAGGGACGTACACACACTGACACTATACAGAGAGGGACGTACATACACTGACACTATACAGAGAGGGACGTACATACACTGACACTATACATTGAGGGACGTACACACACTGACACTATACAGAGAGGGACGTACACACACTGACACTATACAGAGAGGGACGTACACACACTGACACTATACAGAGAGGGACGTACATACACTGACACTATACAGAGAGGGACGTACATACACTGACACTATACATTGAGGGACGTACACTGACACTATACAAAGAGGGACGTACACACACTGACACTATACAGAGGGGACGTACACACCATACAGAGAGGGATGTACATACACTGACACCATATACAGAGAGGGACGACACGACCGACACCATACAGAGGACGACACCGACACCATACAAAGAGGGACGACACCGACACCATACAGAGAGGGACGACACCGACACCATACAGAGAGGGACGAGACCGACACCATACAGAGGGATGTACACCGACACCATGAGGTGGACGCACACTGACACCATACAGAGAGGGATGTACATGAATTCATACAGAGAGGGACGACACACACACCGACACTATACAGAGAGGGACCCACACCGACACCATACAGAGAGGACCCACACCGACACTATACAGAGAGGGACGACACCGACACTATACAGAGAGGGACTTACACCCACCGCATGACTATACAGAGAGGGACGTACACTGACACTATACAGAGAGGGACTTACACTCACTGACACTATACAGAGAGGGACGTACATACACTGACACTATACAGAGAGGGACGTACATACACTGACACTATACAGAGAGGGACGTACACTGACACTATACAAAGAGGGACGTACACTGACACTATACAGAGAGGGACGTACACTGACACTATACAGAGAGGGACGTACACTGACACTATACAGAGAGGGACGTACACTGACACTATACAGAGAGGGACGTATACTGACACTATACAGAGAGGGACGTACACTGACACTATACAGAGAGGGATGTACACTGACACTATACAGACACCAATGCCACATAGAGTCATGGATATATATTATATATATATATATATAGACATTGACACTTCACCCACAATTAACTTTGAGTTCTGAGTAGATGAGTAAACGGTGACTAGATATTTCATTGTGCAGAGGTAGTCTAATATAACTGCATGTTACAGTACAAAGTACACAAAGTGTTTTTACATACGTTCCAGTATAGAGTGCTGATTACACGTTACTATACACAGAGAGAGAGTGCTGATTACACGTTACTATACACACAGATATAGAGTGCTGATTACACGTTACTATACACACAGAGAGAGAGTGCTGATTACACGTTACTATACACACAGAGAGAGAGTGCTGATTACACATGTTACTATACACAGAGAGAGTGCTGATTACACATGTTACTATACACAGAGAGAGTGTGCTGATTACACATGTTACTATACACAGAGAGAGAGAGTGCTGATTACACATGTTACTATACACAGAGAGAGTGTGCTGATTACACATGTTACTATACACAGAGAGAGAGAGTGCTGATTACACATGTTACTGTACACAGAGAGAGTGTGCTGATTACACATGTTACTATACACAGAGAGAGTGCTGATTACACATGTTACTATACACAGAGAGAGTGTGCTGATTACACATGTTACTATACACAGAGAGAGAGAGTGCTGATTACACATGTTACTATACACACACAGAGAGTGCTGATTAGACGTTACTATACACACAGATATAGAGTGCTGATTACACATGTTACTGTACACAGAGAGAGAGTGTTAATTACACATGTTACTATACACAGAGAGAGTGCTGATTACACATGTTACTATACACAGAGAGAGAGTGCTGATTACACATGTTACTGTACACAGAGAGAGTGTGCTGATTACACATGTTACTATACACAGAGAGAGAGAGTGCTGATTACACATGTTACAATACAGAGAGAGTGCTGATTACACATGTTACTATACACAGAGAGAGAGTGCTGATTACACATGTTACTATACACAGAGAGAGAGTAGAGTGCTGATTACACATGTTACTGTACACAGAGAGAGAGGTTGATTACACATGTTACTATACACAGAGAGAGAGTGCTGATTAAGGAACATGTTACAATACAGAGAGAGTGCTGATTACACATGTTACTGTACACAGAGAGAGTGTGCTGATTACACATGTTACTATACACAGAGAGAGAGTGCTGATTACACATGTTACTATACACAGAGAGAGAGTGCTGATTACACATGTTACTATACACAGAGAGAGAGTGCTGATTACACATGTTACTATACACAGAGAGAGAGTGCTGATTACACATGTTACTATACACAGAGAGAGAGTGCTGATTACACATGTTACTATACACAGAGAGAGAGTGCTAATTACACATGTTACTATACACAGAGAGAGTGCTGATTACACATGTTACTATACACAGAGAGAGAGTGCTGATTACACATGTTACTGTACACAGAGAGAGTGTGCTGATTACACATGTTACTGTTCTAGATGATTTACTGCAAACCAATTAGTTTGAATGACTATCTGTTCCTGTCCAAATTAAAGATAATAAAGTTGCGTGCACGCAGAAGTAAATTCACACTGAGACACAAGGTTCAGGGTAATGAAAGAACTTCAGAGAAGTTTAATGGCTTCTGACAGAAAAATGGGTGCGCAGACCCTTATAAAGGCATTATTACATCATTGAAGAAAATCAAGATATAGACAAATAGACATTGTTAATTGGCTTAGGTGCTAAGATGTTAGTAAAATGCCCTCCCCATTCTTAGGTCACTATCTACGTAATTTCTTAACTCCTACAGGTTTTAGCGCCATCTTGCTAAAATGAGGAGCTCACTCGACGGGAGGGGCCTTTTGGCAGCTATCCATTTGGAGCGTAGCTGGCACTTGTTAGTTTCTCAAGGTTAAGTTTCAAGGATTTTAGTAAATACACATTTTATCAAAGCTATTTCTTGCTGACATGCAAATTCTATGTTCTATAGACAAAGCTTCCTTGTAAAACTATGGGGGCCTCTTAGAGGTATAACAAGAGGATTTAAAGGGGCCTTACAGATTTATAGAGGCCTAATAATTCTACAACAGTCCCCCCTAAAATGTTATTTGCTAAAAGACAAAACTTTATTTGTTAGTATCAGAAGAAGTATTAGCCCAAAGACACAGAAACCCCATGACCACTGACTTAGTGTTAATGCAAAGTGCAAGTCTATCCCTCTCTTGACCCTAACAGGCTGCAGCACATCCGTCAGTACGGTTCAGGAACACTCTTCACTCCGCTGGTAACCCATAGTGGGTTATCCACTACTTCTCCGTACGGCAGTCTACCCATAAAGACGGACGCTGTCCCTGTACTGTCCCTTCCTAGACTTTCTGCACTTCATCAGTATAAGGGAGAGTTTGTAGTGGAATACAGGGTGAGATGAGGTCTTGATCATCGATTGTCAGATGAGTGAAGGTTGGTGTTGCTTGGTCTACAGTTTTCTGCAGGAATTTCCTTAGGCATGGGAGGACACAACAAATGAGAAGAGTGAGAATAAAAAGAAAAATTAGTAAGGCAATACCAATCTGGACTAAAGCTCTCTGCCAACCAGTCATCCAACCAAACCATTTTTCCCAGGGATCAGTAACTCCAGAGTGTCTCTTTAACTCTTCTGAGAGTCTGTTTAATTTAGCTATGGCCAGAGTGACTTTACCATTAGGACCTGTGTTTTCTGGAATGTAAGTGCAACAAGTCATAGTGTCGGGAAGTATTTTACAGACCCCCCTTTTTCGGCTAAGATCATGTCTAAGGCCAGTCTGTTCTCGAAGGTCATTTGGGATGTGGCCTGTAATTGCTCGGCCAAGCCCTGGAGGGCATCCCTGGTGTAGTTCACGAAGCGCTGTTGGTTGTAATAGATATAATTAATCCAATTAAGGTTTTTGTTGGCAGTGACTATGGTAAAAAGTGATTCAAAACCTACAGCTACTTCATCTCTAGCTTTAAATTCATTAGGCACCCCCCTAGGTACCCCAATGGCATCTATGTAAATGTGGGGGTCAAAACTGCCTTTTACTGGGGTTTCGCGCCTCACTCTGGCTGGTGTATGTGGAGGGTCGTATGTGTCATGATGATTATCAGAAATAATATGAATGGCCATGATAACTTTGGCTAGGGTACACTCACCCCACCACTCAGTTTCCAGCCTAGATCTTAACTGTAGATCCCCACATAACCAGTAAATATCCCCCAATGACCTGGTATGGTGTTGCAACAGGCGTATAGGAACAGTTCTGTAAGTGGCGCAATAACCTTTAGAAAAGTTACCCATGAATTTACCAATCCCGTCATACATGGCATAACAAGTGTAATTACCTCTATAGACTGTGATTCCATCTGGTGGCTTAACATTTTCAACTAAGAGAGGGTATTCTGCCGTCCATGCCATGCAGAGGGACCTATTAAAGTCATATTGGTAGGCAAAAGGCTTAAGAAGCAATCTTCTATCTCTAAAGGGAGAGTTAGGGGGACAGTGCCAAGGTGGGGTCGGGCACCGCCACATACATAACATGCTGTTTTATTATGTTTGTTGGCATTATACCTCATCCATTCTAACCACAAATTAATGTCATTGAATCCAGTTTCAGCAGCCATGGTATCTTCAAAAGTGGGGTTAGCGATGGCCATCATATCTTTAAAGGACTGGATATGTGGTTTTAGCGGATTTGGGACCATATGATCAGCCCCTTGCCACTCTGGAGAGTGGTACATATCTCTGAGGTAGAAATGACCTAATTTGTTGTAGGAACCTTTCTTACAATACATTCCCATTACATATCGGTCTGCATCCTCGGGGCCAGGATGTTCAATATTTAACATTAATTTCATAGGGGTACTTCCTCCAGGCTTTCTTAAAGTCATTCTTTGAAGGAGGGATCTACCCTGATTGTCTATCTTAGATAAAGCACTTTTGGGTTTGTAACCCCAGGCAGGCCCAGTATTCCATCCCGCAGCCCCCCAGTAGTTACAGTCACAACCCCATTGTTCATCTACTACACAAACGTAAGGGTCTTTTGCTTGTGGTATATCTTTATAAATGGCTTGAATCTGTGACTTAGGGAATGGGCACTCTACAATATCACAGTAATCAAAAGTGAATGTAGTCACATGGGTACATGATGAATTATACCAGAAAGTGTACCCACTAGCATCTTTGGTGATGGCCACCTGCTGGGCTTTAAGGAGGCCAACTAAGGAGATAATGTACCAGAGGCACATGGTTGCATAGAGTTAGCTTCCTCTGGGGCAGGTGTCTTCTTGCAGTGGGAAGCGTGGATCCAGTTAGGCCTTCCGGCCAATTTGACAGAGGTAGGGGAGATCAGGAGAACTTGTAACGGTCCGTCAAATCTTGGTTCCAGGGTATGTTTTCGCACAAATTTCTTGACCAGAACCCAGTCACCGGGGAGCAGACTGTGGTTGCCTGTGTCAGAATCAGGATCTGGAATTTTAGAGAAAACTTGGGCATGGATTTTGTTCAAAGCATTTGCGAGTTCAGTTACATAATCTACTAAAACATCAGTTTGAAGTTGTAGTTGTTGGGGAAAATAGCAACCTAGCCTAGGTGCAGTCCCAAATAGAATCTCGTATGGGGACAATGAGGTAGTATTTTTGTACAAGAGAATTCATTAGATCTTTTGATAAATGTGCAGGTCTGTGTGCCCATTGTACGACTGCTGGGTACAAATTCTTAGGGAGGCAGAAATTGAGGTTGTTGGAGTACACTCCATCCTTCAGAACTGCCCCTTTCTGTTTCCACTTCTGTATTTCTTCAGGGGCAACTGTAGCCTATTGTTCCAGCAGGATTTTCAGGTCAGTTGGAAGAGTCTGCAGAGTAAATATGGGAGTTTCTTCATTTCCGGACACTCTTCTTTCCACTTCCTGTGGTTCTTTTGCAGCTTGCTTTGCAGCCTGATCAGCTAGATGGTTGCCCCTTGCTTCATCTGAGTCCAACTTCCCATGTGCTTTTATCTTCAAAATAGCCACTTCTTCTGGGAGTAGGAGGGCGTCCATCAGCTCCTTGATCGCGGAACGGTGCTTGATTGGTGTACCGGTGGTGGTAAGAAATCCTCTTGTTTTCCAAATTAATCCGAAGTCGTGAGCCACGCCCAGTGCATATCTTGAATCCGTGTAGATATTGGCGCGCTTTCCTTCAGAGATCTTGCATGCTGAAGTCAGGGCTTGCAATTCAGCTTCTTGTGCAGACATAGTTGATGGTAAAGATGATGATTTGATAATTTCATCTGTTGTGGTTACGGCATATCCTGTATGGTATCTTCCTTCTTCATCAGCATATCTTGAGCCGTCCACAAACAGGGTGAGATCGGGATCTACCAATGGGTCTTCATGTACAGTTGGTAGATGTGTTGTTTCCATTTTCATCTGTTCAAAACAGTCATGAGGTGTATCTGGGTCGTATTCATTCACTATGGTTAAATCTTGGAACTTATTTTCCAGGAAATGACGTGGCCATGCTTTTAGGGTCATTTGTTGGATATTTGACAACACCATTTTCCTGTAGCTGTGATTCGTCCATAGTGGCCCATGCTTTTGCCATAGGCCCAAGATCATTCCATGATATTGTTTTCAACTTGGTCACAGGGACATGTGGAATGGCAGTATCCCAATGACGGTACAAATGCTTGAGTTCCGGAGGTAGATGAATCAAGACCATACTGTTGCCTTCAGAATCACAGTAGAAGTCTTGTGCAGTGAGTTTTACTTCAACCAGCTTATAGAGTTCATCTTCATAGCAGGGTTCAGGAGTGATGTTTGGTTTGTACCACATGGTACAGAAGGCATGTCTTGCTCCGTCATGAAGGAGTGCTTGTCCATCATGAAAGGATAGGTTGGGATGCATTTCCTTTTTGATGGTGCCAGTGAGAAGAAAAACATAAGTTTCGTCCATGATGAATCCGTAGTATACACCCCCCTCAGGGAGTGGCAGAAGAGTGGACGGATTGAGAACTTGACATCTTTGGAGGGTAATGCTGTCAGGCAACAAAAGATGACATTGAAGGCGAAGATGCCTAGCAGGAGTAACATGCTTAAGTTGGACCTGGTTGACTATGGCAGAAATGTCATGGGGGGCCAAGACAACCAGGGGGTGGCTAAGGACAAGATCTCCAGTTCTTTCAATGAGCTCTCTGGCAGCAAAGACGGCCCGAAGGCAAGAGGGACGTCCTCTGGCCACAATATCCAGTTGGCAGGAGAAAAATCCAATAGGCCCTTGGCGGCCTCCAGGACCATGGGCCTGAGTGAGTACTCCTGTTGCATGGCCTTGTCTTTCAGAAACAAACAATGTGAAGGGTTTGGTATAGTCTGGTAGGCCAAGAGCAGGAGCAGAAGCAATAGCACGTTTGAGAGAACAGAAGTTGTCAAGGGCTTCTGTGGACAAGCATAATGGGCCTGACTTGAGAGCATCATAAAGAGGTTGCATAAGGGGCGAGGCTTCTGGGATCCATGCTCGGCAATAGGAAATGAGGCCTAGGAAGGCGTGTAGTGACTTTGAGATCCTTGGAGGTGGAATGTCCAGTACCGCTCTAACTCGGTCACGGGTAAGATGTCTGGTTCCCTGAGACAGACAATGGCCAAGGAAAATAACAGTAGGTTGGCAGAATTGCAGCTTGAGACGTGAAGCTTTACATCCTTGTTCTGCTAGGTAGCAAAGAAGATTAATTGAGCATTGTTCTGTTGTGGGTATATCATCTCCACAAAGCAGCAAATCATCCACATATTGAAGCAGGACGACCTCAGGATGGTCAGATTGCCATGGATCAAGGATAGAGCACATGGCCTTCGCAAATTGACTTGGTGAATTTTGTGCCCCTTGGGGCATGACAGTCCATGTGTACTGTTGTTTGTCATGTGTGAAAGCAAACAGATATTGGCAAGTTGGATCCAGGGGAACACTGAAGAGGCATTGGCTAGATCAATGACAGTGAAGTACTTGGCAGAGGGTGGAACGCCAGAAAGGAGAGTGTGTGGGTTGGGCACTATTGGAGTGTCCAAAACTGTGGCTTCATTTACCGCTCTGAGGTCTTGGACCAATCTGTACTTTTCTGGTTCACCTTTTGGAGTCTTTTTCTTTACTGGAAATAATGGAGTATTGCATGGTGATTCACATTTGACAAGAGCACCCTTCTCCAGGAGTGCTTGAATTTGAATTGTAATGGCTGCAGCTTGAGCTGGTTTCAAAGGATACCGTGATTTTCGTGGCAATTTTACGCCTGGGATGAGCTTTACCACCACAGGCGGGACCTTTAGATGGCCTATGTCCTCTGGGCCTGTGGACCACAGCTTCTTGGGAACATCAGTCTTTAGTGAATCAGGGAAATTAGTCCTTAGGTCTTTTGCATCCCCATGAGGCTCTTCTAGATGTAGCATCAGGGGTAAGGAGCACAAAGCTGAGGTGTCTGAGACAGATAGAGGGGTGGATAGTTCCACTTGTCCATCTGGGGTAAAGGTGATGGATGCCTGCAGGCGTGAAAGAACATCAGCTCCTAACAGGTTAATGGGGCATGTGGAAGATACCACAAAGCGAGCAAGCAAGTTGTGGCAGTTACCAACCCGCAGTGGGGTGGACAGGGGACTTTGCCTTGGAAGGCCGTCCACCCCAACACAGGAGACATCAATATTGGAAAGAAATTAGGTATCAGGCAGGTCTTGTTCTCTCAGAACACTTCGGGCTGCACCTGTGTCAACTAGGAAAGTGGTGGGCTGGCCCTCAATGGGTAAAATTACAGTAGCTAGAGGCCCCCCTTGTTCCCCTGAAGACACTGCCATGGCAGGGGCTTTAAGCATCAGCGGGTTTGCTCTCCTCAGTATGGGCTGTGTTACTGACTCAAACCCCTTTTGTATGTCATTAGCCATAGCTTTTTGCAGTCTGAACATGTCTATCATTATAAATAATGGTTAATAGTAAGTTAAGTAAAGTTCCTATATGTCTTTGGATAAAACATTAACTATTGCGTTACTATCATTTATATCAATTAGACTATAACAATTATACCACCCTGTAACTAAAATGAATAACCAGTAGTGGCTGGGTTAATAAACATGTCACAAACCCTTCTAATGCTAAACCATCATTTAAAGTAAAGGATGTTACTGTAAACATAAGATCTGTAACTAGCAAGATTCGATTAAGTAAAGATACAATGTTTAAAATAACTTGCATTATTTAGCTATTTCCCTTGTTGCAAGATTAATCTGGATAATCAGCTGTTATGCTCTTATATTCGTGTCCAACAGATTTCATATGTAGGTCACACCACATTTGCAAATTACATTTTAGCAACCTTCTTTTTTTTTTTTTTTATCACGGACAAATTTCTGATACAGGGAAACAAATGGCATGATTGTTTTAGTAATTATAATGTTTCAGTTCATAATATGTAGAGTGTAAGGAAAACCACATGTCTCTAATAGGGGTAGGCCTCATGATGGAGGCAGCCATGACAGGGGCGGGGAAGGAAATGACAGCAAGGGAGGAAGTGAGAGGGGTGACGTCCATGATATGTGTGGGAAAGGAAGACAGGAGGTGTGGGCATGGTAAGGGCGGAAGTGACGTTACTTTAGAAGCAACC